CCAGCAACTACGTCTTGGATTCTGTACTCATTCTGGAGAGCTGTGGACACTGCAGTTAGGAAACGTTTCGTAAGTTGTAAGTTTGGGGATTGGATTGAATCAGAGGCATTCAATCAGAATCGCTGAGAGAATGGCCAGGAGTAGGGATCAACCATGAGAGAAGCATTTAAAGCTTTGAAGTGTGGTGCTTTGTTGCTGGTGGCAAAGTCTTGGATTCTGTGCTCATTCTGGAGAACTGTGGACACTGTTGAAGTTTGGGATCATTTTGTCGGTTGCAAATTTGGTGACTAGATTAAATGAGGACTGGCTACTCTTCTGCTCGTTCCTGGAAAGCCTGTTGTTATTGAGAATGGACTGGTTGACTTTAGACTGTACAGTCGGAGACTCCAGAACGAAGTGTTTGGTGGGTGGGGACAATGCTAAACAATGGACGCTTCAGGGCAATGGCTATTCCAGTGGGTGCTGCAAGGGAGGGGACGTTGGAGAGGAATCGTTCCCACCCGATCAAAGCCTTATGGTTAATTCGGGGAATTGTTCTCTGGAGTCCAAGGTGGGACAAAGCAACATGTAAAAGGAATTCAATCCCAAAGCAAAATAGCAAAGCGGGCGTGCCGTATGTCCCCGCGGAGCTGTGTCTCCTCATTCCCCATTTCACATTGTCCCGATTTTTTGATAACAAGCTGGACTCGGTCCTTACCAAGCTTCTTAGCTGGTGGCCCGTGGTCCTCTTCTCCCTTGACCGGCAGCATCCGCCCCGGAGGCAAGAAGCCCTCCTTCTGGAATTTCTCCTGCAGTTTCTTCAGATGGTAGGCCATCTTCTTCTCTAGCAAGGCTTGTTTCTGCAACGGGAGGGCCAAAGGACCCAATGGTCAATGCCAGACACACAAGGTGGGTGGGGACCTGAGTCTCCTTCAGCCAGCCGGACCCTTTCCTCACCCGCTTTAGCTTCTCCTCTTTGCTTTTCCGCTTCTGCTCCTCGATCCGGGCCTCTCGCTTTACGTCATCTCCGATTTTCATGAGAAGGAGCATCTCCTTCCTCTTCCATTCCTGCAGAGAGAGCATTGGGGGTCAGGCAAAGCCCAGGAGTGCACACACAGGGATGGCAAAGCACATTAATTCTACAGTGTAGATATGCCCCATTGTGCTCCAATAAATCCTAG